AGTGGATGGATGATGAAGGAAAAGGAGACGTGGATGACTTAAGGACACATGGAGAAAGTAAGAAAAGAAACGGAAATGGGATACCATAGACAGAAAAGCAGAAGACAGCAATGGGGATAACTTGTAATGCCTTTGTTGTCAACATCGTGAAGATGATGTGTGTGTGTATGTGTATATATATATGCATTTGTGTTTATATTTATTTATATGTATGGGTGTGTGTGTATATATATATATATATATATATATATATATATATATATATATATATATATATATATATATATATATATACATATAAATGTTTATAGTATAACGGCCACTTTTAAATGTATATATATATATATATATATATATATATATATATATATATATATATATATATATATATATATATATATATATATGACCACTTATGTACAAATAAAACGACTACTTTAATATATATATATATATATATATATATATATATATATATATATATATATATATATACATTTAAAAGTATATATATATATATATATATATATATATATATATATATACGAGTGTGTATGAGTGTAACGACCACTGATGTCGCAGTGCCGGTGTTCTTGTACGCTATCCGAGAGAGTTAATATGACAATTAGGTTTCTCACACAATATGTAATGCCGTTGTGTCTTTGCGTGTGGGTGCCGGAGCCCCAGTTGGGCAAACAACAATAGACCTTCCCACCCCCACCCCCCTTTTCCAACAAGCATGTCGTATGATTCGACTTCGAAGTTGAAGTGCATCTGTGAGAGAAGCAAGGAATCAACAGTCTGCATAAAAATGAGTCAGATCTGTAAAACGGATGTACGCGCAGCACTCAGCTTCTGGAGCAGGACTCAAGTCCATGGGTGGACAAAGAAGGAAAACTTTCCACCGGAATTTACAGGCGAAGAAAAAGGCCAAGAACCCCTATGTCAGAATCTTAGTACAACACTACGCTAATAACCAACCGGCTTGTTTCTTATACAACCTTTAATACCCCTAAACCTCATAAACATAGAACGAGTCTTTCTTTACAAGTAATGTGATCAAAGAACTATGACAAATGGCAAAACGATTTGAACAATCTGAGCGAGAAATCTGAAGTACATCCACTCAGCCGAGACAAACTGTTGGCACAGATGTGTCGTCTTAATGAGCTATAAATTCACGGGAAACAATGGGAATATTGAGTGACAACGTTAAATAATGACAAATCATTCTGTGATTGCGTCTGTCTAGTTCTGGTGGATAAAACTATTCAGTAGAACATATTTACGACGTGGTCGCCTGAACAACGCCAGTAAATCAAATCAACAAGACAACAGACGGGGAAAAAATTCTGGACTTCACGCTGATCAGATCTCACACACTTAAGACGGTTGCAACTGATCTCTTTCCTTTCTGCCTTTGACATATAAATAAAACAGTACTATTGCTTGCCAGTAGTTCTTTCTGTGTTATTTTAGAATTTCGGTCATTGTATTCTGTTCCTATTTAATGCTATAATTTAGCACGTTTTCCAGAAGGATACTGTCTTTGTAATGAGTTCGAATCCCTTACTGAGAAACAGTGGTGATGAAACATATGTGGTCAGTCCACCCAGACCAGATCTCATACCCACCTATTTACACCTCTTCGTGGTCATCATGTGAACAGCTTTCATAGCGGCGGCCTGGCTGTCGTAAATAAGATGGAAGTTTCCTTCCTTCCGTGTCGGAGAACTTGTGCCTGAGAGGCGAGGATCCAAGCCAAGAGTCGTAATACAAATAGGCCAGAACTGTAAAACGCGTGCGCACGCAACACTCAAGTACTGGGACAAGACCAAAGTCCGTGCATGGAAGAACAATCAGGACGTTCCTCCAGAGTGCACAGTGAGTGGGGAAAAAAGGAGGAGGAGGAGAATGAGGAGAAGAAGAAGACGAGAAATGTGGAGGAAAGGGAGAAAAAAAAAGAATAAGGAGGAGAAGAGAAGAGAAGGAGAAAAGAGCTTTTCTTGCTGCCATATAAGCAAGTTGAGTTTGTATTTGTTCTTGAAATCTGCTGACGTATTGGGTAATCTTACAACTTGCAACGCTGCAGGCGAAGTCACAACGTATTTGAAGCAAATGGGACAGAAAACGCGATGGTTTTGTACCGACTTCCTTAATCGTCCATCAAAAAGGGATTTGTTTCAATCGTGCACTGAAGGGAAAGTAGGGGGGGGGGGGGGGAGACATTTACAAGAGACATACAGAGAGAGAGCGAGAGAGAGAGAGAGAGAGAGAGAGAGAGAGAGAGAGAGAGAGAGAGCGTTATGGAGAGAGAAAGAAAGAGAGAAAGAGAGAGAGGGAGAGAGAGAGAGAGAGAGAGGGAGAGAGATGGAGAAATAAAGAGATACACACAACAATCAACAGTCAAAACAAAACCAAAAAAAAAAAAGAGACAGAAAGAGGCACGGTTGAAAACATTCTGCTATGTGTTCAATTATAATTCAGTTTTACTGCAGTTTGTGCAGGTTCCATTTCAATGAAGAATGGGACCAGCAACTAGCACATTGCCATGGGTACGGACAAAATAACATGAGAGCTGGCGAGAGACCGAGTTTCTTTCAGGCAGAACGTGATGAAAGCGACGTTCTGCAAAGGACCTGCTACACGATGATGATGATGTTTGTCAATAAAGAAAAGCCAATGTTACAAAAATTATTAACGATAACAGTGAAAATAAACCCTGTCAACAAGTGTGAAGCAGTATTATCCACCCCAAGGTATTTCACAGCGAAAAGACCCACCCATGTACGTACATTTAAATTCGGAACACTTTTATGGCGCCCTAGGATAAGTGTGCTCTATGGCAACAGGGCTGAACGGGGTTTGAGCCTGTTTGATTCGTATCCTTGCGATGTTAATCCTGCAATCCTAGAGAAAAACTATGTAAACAAAAATATACGTCAAGGTCCATAAAATGCAGTCATGTCTGGCACTACAGCTAGCAGCAGTGGGTGCAGCCACCCATCCAAGCAAGGTAGAAACATGAAAACTAGTGGCTTACTGTTGTTCCGCCATCACACAAGCCAATCCCAACAGTGGCAGTTGGAAAACGCGATGGTACAGACATGTCTGGCATGGTTGGGTTTATACAACAGATCAACAACATGGCACAAGAGCAGTAAATCCCATATGCTCCGTTCTACTTCTACCTCAAGACAGTCAAAAACTGACTCACAGAGCATGTTGAGAAAGGTGGAGACAGAGACATGCATCGTGGAGAGTGGCAAGCATCACTTCAAAGGTCCCGGGTAGTAAGCATTCTTTAGATATTTTCTCCAGGTTATGCCGGTGTGTTGGGAAATGAACAGACAGATAGACTCGGTAGGGAACTGATGAACGACAAGCTGGATGTTATAAGGGCACTTTGGGAGCGAGTGAAAAGTGCCGAGGAACAGACAGATCATTACGGTCTGAGGAGAATGGCACTGCGAGGAGTTATAGGGGATCTGGCCGACGCTCGACACTCAGGGGAAAGGCGAGACAAAAATACAATCAGACAGTTACTAGTAGCATCGGAATTTTAACTCTTCGCTTGCGGCTGAAGATAGGGACGGAGCGCTGATGGGGTTTTCCCGAGTGCTGTAATGTCGATTCTTAATTCAACATTCAACAACAATCAAGCCTGAGTCCGAAGAATCTCAACAAAGTGCATGAACTCCGTTGCACCGGCGAGGATCCTGAAATTCTTTAGGTAAACGTTTAACTCAAAATTTTGCCCGGGCAGCGCCGTTAGGCTACTCTTTCGATTTTCAACTGCCAAGGGGTTTGTTACGTGCACAACAATACACACAGGCGTCCGATCTTACTACAGAGCGACCAGGGCAAATTACGTGAAAGAATCCCACCTTCACCGGGGCCTGTACATGGGACCACCAGCACTCGAGGCCTTCTGGTACAGACATGTAATCAGATCTACCGGCCTCCCGACACCAATACCTCAGGGCTCAGTAGTGGACAAGAGGAGATGAGACAGACATCTATCGGCCTCCCGACACCAGTACCTCAGGGCTCAACAGAGGGCAAGAGGAGATAAGACGGACACAGAAAGACCTGGATACAGAACTTGGTTGCCTGGACAAGCCAGCCTCAAACATGCAGACGTAAACTCCATTGCATAGGTGGAGGTTGAGGGAACTAAAGTAATCAGACAGTCCACAGTTACTGATGATCTAATGATACCGGTGTATGGGGCAATGATTATGACGGTGATAATGATGGTAATAATGACGACGACGTATTTACTGCTAGAACGCTCTAAGAAACCGGGTAATCAGTCACAAGAGTTGCACGTCTGGACGAGAGTATACTAATTATACGAATGTCTTGAGGTGCTGTGATTAATGCGTCGGAGTACAGACTGTGCAAGTATTGGCTAGACGTGGACACGTAATGTGTTGCAATGTTAATTAATGTTATCTTCAAACTTATGATGAATAAATGGGTTCCAACGGCATGCCTTGTTGCCTTATTGATTGTGGAAAAAATACGTGTATGAAGGCAATTACAGTTTGTTAAACATCCTACATATCAGTATATTATTCATAAATATTAAATACATCAGTAAAACAAACATTGTTTCTTGCTCCTAGGCGACTAACAAAAAGAAGCTTCGACAAGCCAAATAAATAAATATCCGTGAAGAAAAGCAATAGACAATGGAAGGAAACGCGAAATACAAACAGGCGGATAGAAACAAAGAATGAACACCGCCATCAAACACATGAATATATTGGAAACCGCACTCCCCTTTCTAGGCCACAGATTTCGACAAATGTAAAGGCGTCAAACCGTTTAGATAGCAACGATAAACTACTTGACGTAAATTTCTGTATTAAAACCACAACGAGCCAATAGATGATGGTCTTGGTTGGCAAGGTCATGTAAGGGAGACAGTAGGTGCAGCAGTCAACAGCAGTAACGCGGAACGCTGAAACAACATTCCAATAAACACATGCAACTTACCTGTGGACCTGTATCCAAACTTCACTTCCACCGACGTCAGCAAGGTCTCCGGAAGCAGCAGAAGGAACGCCGCTATCAGATGTACCGTCTGCGATAAGGGACAGAAATGCCTCCACAGGCGTCGCACAGCCTCGTTTGTCGTGGCCACCTCCTCGGATGTTACCACAGAATAACCCAGGGCGTGATCGCGTCCTAGCTTGACTCCATCGTTGGCGTAGTTCCCGACTTTGATGAAGCAGGTAATGCAGAAGAAGGGCAGCATTAGCAGGGATACTACAGTGGATCCTAGCATGAGAGGCACCTCGCTGGGCGTACCACGGCCACCAGGCCAGGCTTTGGAATCCGCCTCGTTGTACCTTTTCACAGCCTTATAGCTTGAATAGGCATGTATGCCTAATGCAATAAAACAATAGCAGATGGAGGAGAACGAATTGAGATTGGAACTTCGAGTAATTATTCCAACCATAATGGATGGAAATTAATGTAACCAGAATCAGCCTGCCTCATAAAAGAACATAATAACTTAGTATAAATAAACAAACTCCAAATGCCCTTATATATACCCCGAGCCTATACAACGAGGTGTATTCAGGAGATCACATAGCATATTGTAAGATCCAGTATTGCTGCCTTTTACCATTCCTATAAGTTCCATAAAGCAAAGGGTACACGTGTCGCTAATCTGGATGTAAAAATATCCACATGTGAAACGCATCTACTCCGTTTAGATCGCGTGGAAATACAAGGAAAAATATAACTAATGATTTCTTTCATTTACATTGCGCCCAAGGAAACCGGCATTCACCTGGGCCTCGATGCGCCAAATTGAAGTCATCAAAAATCTTGTTCTGTGCTCTCGCCAGGATCCACTCGCGTGCGGCCTTGACCCAGTCTGTAGATGTCAGTTAGCGTATGTTCTCCAGATCCGCTTGCTGGGATCAATACCGGAAGAACTTCAAAGGTGAATAGAGGTGTTAAAAGTACTCAGAAAAATGGCGAAATATCTCGTCGAGTCTACAATCTAGTTCAGCACGCCATGATACAGAGGTCTGCAATAGAAGCAATAACGTTTTTATTATTGATTAAACAAATCTGGTGACCACATGTGTTCATCTGGTTCACAGACACAATTCTGAATAAGGATTTCTGATGGGTGTGATTCTTCTGCTTTCACCCTTAAATGGGTGGTTTAAACTCTGTACTGTGATTCACAGCGAGGCTGCGATATCTGCACCCTTCGGCTAAACAAATTATATTTCAACAAATCCCTAATTATTCGCCTTTTACGACATGCTTCTAGAGAGGCAATGATTCTATTCAGTTTCTATGTAAATAAAGCCGCGGAACCGACACGGAAAGGTCGGTAAATGAAACGATGCAGTGTCTACGGCTAATCAGACTTTTTATAGAAGACACTATTTACTATTATTAAGTATTCAAGAGCCCTTCTTTTGCGCTGACTTACTAGGCATATGGTGCTAGATGTGTAGTCTTATATACCAGCGGTATTTGGTGGGGCTGTAATCAACATCACGTCAGTCGTCATTACTTCCCACAATATTTCCTGGTACCCATTTTGTGTAGGGTCGAACTGGGAGCGGCGCAGAATATTTATTTGAGCAATCTGCCATAATCTGGATTAGAATATCTATTATTACGTCTTTGTGAAAACGATAGTGGTGTCCAAAGTTTAGTTACAGCTCAGGGGACCTTTTACTTTCTAGAATATTTCCCGTTGTCTGATTCAGAAGCCTAGGCCTTTTTGCGTTGAAAATTTTCGAATAAGAAAACTATGAATAAGGAAAACAAACACTGAGGATGAAAAAACAAAGCTGACGCCCTATGTCACACTGACATTCAGAATGAAAACATAGCTGATGCCTTATGTCACACTGACATTCAGAATGAAAACATAGCTGATGCCTTATGTCACACTGACATTCAGAATGAAAACATAGCTGATGCCTTATGTCACACTGACATTAAGAATGAAAACATAGCTGATGCACTATGTCACACTGACATTAAGAATGAAAACACAGCTGATGCCCTATGTCACACTGACATTAAGAATGAAAACATAGCTGATGCCCTATGTCACACTGACATTAAGAATGAAAACATAGCTGATGCCTTATGTCACACTGACATTAAGAATGAAAACATAGCTGATGCACTATGTCACACTGACATTAAGAATGAAAACATAGCTGATGCACTATGTCACACTGACATTAAGAATGAAAACATAGCTGATGCCTTATGTCACACTGACATTAAGAATGAAAACATAGCTGATGCACTATGTCACACTGACATTAAGAATGAAAACATAGCTGATGCCTTATGTCACACTGACATTAAGGATGAAAACATAGCTGATGCCCTATGTCACACTGACATTAAGAATGAAAACATAGCTGATGCCCTATGTCACTGTGACGAGCTGGTCTGGACAGCTGTTTCTGTCCTTTTAAAGATTGCTTTGTTTAGATAATATTATTACCAAAGTTCTAAACATTTTCCTATTGCTTTTAATTAGCATAATAACACTGGATTAATTAAGAAATTTCTTACCCCTTTCCTAATGCTTCATTGTAGCAAAATTATAATTAAAGAGTTGAAAGGTAATAAAGGCGAAGAGTAGTGCAAGGGGTAACAAAGAGTAACTTCCCCCTTGGTAGGACTTCCCATCTGCCATTTTTCATTCCAGGCTAGATTGGGGGAGTCAAGATTTTGTTCTCCCCAATCGACACAGTTCAGTTAGTTCTGTTGTCTTGTTGCCTGAATTTGAATTCCCTGCCAGGGGTGAGTTAAAAGAATAAGTTTAATTTGATGTATTGCTGCTTATTCCTCTGAATTAATTCCACAGGTTAAATTCTGAAATTTAATGCCCACATGGCTCAAAAACTATGATAAATTTCTTTATCCTCACTAACCACGTTTATGATCTAGTATGTACATGTATGCAAACATATTATCCATTTGATGATTGAATTAATGTTTATTTGCTACTAGAAACGTGCATTGGTATTTTCAATTATTATACTTATATTAATTAAGTGATAATTATGTCCTCATGTGAAATCTCGGCCAGTTCCGGTTTCCAGCATGGTGGGACAATTAAAAAGGAATGAAGTGTATATTCATTATACCTAATCCCTTCTAAGTTGATTTTTACCTCATGGTGATATTAGCTTAATAAATCACTGTCTTGCTTTAATTTAGATTTAGTCCAGATAATTTTGAGACTAGTTTAAGAGCTTGGAAAGTGAATAACACAGTGAGGCTGAATTTAATATTCACACTGTCAGAGAAGAAGAGATGTATGGCCCATGCTTGTAATTATTATTGTGGTAAATATATTTCCCTATTACTAGGAATACATTTCAGTTCTACAGCAGGTGGCCTTACAATTGTAATAATTATATTTCAACCTTTACAACTTCTAAACTCTACTGACTAAGATGTTATCACACAGGTGGATTTAGATTTAAACTGGAGTGAGTGTTGTATATTTTATGTTAATACTGTGACAGATGGAAAGCCCATTGTCATCTATGATTGTATTTTGACATCTATCCCAGCACCCAGTATATTGATGGAGATATGTCAATCCCATTTATTTTCAAACAGTGTAAAGCACCTGTTATGAGTTTCTGGCCTTGGTAAACTCACTCCCTGCTTCTCATTCATTGTGATGTGAACCCATGTGGTTAAAATGAGAATATTGTGAAATATGACTGTGTATGTCTGTGTGTGTAAGCATGTTAACCCTTCAAAGGAGTACTAGTGTGCAGACATCAGAACAATTTACACTGAGGAATGTCCTTTCTTTTTGTGTGATGTAAACTCTTGTTCTTGAGAGCTTTCATGAAACTGGTTTCCTAAATATTTCCCCATCAGGATTATGGACCATGTTCTGTATACATTCCCATTCTATACCAGTAGAATGTGAACACCTGTTTCTATCCTACTCCATATATATGTGTGTAGTGTAACAGTTTAAAGACTGGAGGTATTGTTGTCTCCAGTTAGAACCTTCCTGACTGTTTGTATAAGGACTGTTCTATTGTTCTAGTTCCAGATTGTAGTCCAGAAGTAGATCCTAAGCTTAGCTGCAGATACCCGATTGTCCGGACTGGACTGGAAGATTCGGCCTGCCTGATGTGTTTCCGAAGCTTAGTCAGAAGCTGACAACAGAAACCTAAGCTACAGCTAAGATTTAACTAACCTACCTTGAATAACAGGATTTTATATCCACAGCCATTTAGTTATCATTTGAATTTATATTGATTTGAAAATCCTAATAAATGTTAGTTTTAATGTTCCTACAGTTTTATGAAGTTTCATTTTAACTGTAAACATTGTCAGTGAACTTGAGAACATTTAAATATACAATCTTAATTACAGTAGGGAATAAGATGTGGGCAAACCCCGAATCCTCTCATTTAACCAGCAAGGCTGGGGTTACTATAATACCTTATGATGTTTCACTGTTTGTAATTCCCTCTGTGAATTGCACATAGTGCATTCGCTAGTGTAAAGCGAAGTTACCCGCCACAGTCACACTGAGATGATGCACTATGTCACACTGACATTAAGGATGAAAACATAGCTGATGCCCTATGTCACACTGACATTAAGAATGAAAACATAGCTGATACCCTATGTCACACTGAGATGATGCACTATGTCACACTGACATTAAGGATGAGAACATAGCTAGTGCCCCCCGTCACACTGATAAACCGTAAACTGTGGCGAAATCAGACAAACTGGTCAGAATGGCCATCACTATCAGCAGCAACCAGTACTTCAGAACTTAATTAGCAATTAATTTAAATAGGTTGGCAATTATTGCCAGCCGTCATGAGATATCGCTGCGTGGATGGCTGACCTGTAGTACGAGAATGACGAAAGTTTGTTAGACACGACGCATGTTTGCATTTAACCCTCCTATATATCGCTGAATTGTTGCACTCCAGTAATGATTTCCACAATCAGCTGGAAGTGGAAGAATAAGGTGGCGGGGTGGGTGGGGGGGGGGGGGGGGGGTGGGGGGAGTCTGAGAGTTCACAGTTTACTCTTTAGGCTTGTAAGGTGTCTGGTTATAATATGTCTGCTGGGTCGAATGTTGCAGATATCAAAATCTAGCTTTGTAAGCGACAGCACAGCGTGTCAACCGCCATGTTGGGAGTAAACCTGGGATACTGTCGGCGGTGAGTCATAGTCACAGAAACAGGTCCGAAATTAACATATCGCTGAGACCCTGTTAGAGCATTTGTTTCGCTATACGAAGCCGATCCTAGTTTTGCCGCGATTCGTTCGTCGCCGGAAGTTCGCCTATTTTTAATTGGACTGAGCCCTGTAAGGATATTTCAGGCCGCCATAATGCAGGGGTAGAAGTTCGGAGGAGAGCCGTACATCGTAAAATGTCCACAGCATCTGTACAACGTAAATAAT